AGGAACTCCTGTAAGGACAAGGATCTAAGGATCTAGTGATTGAGGTCCAAAACATACATCAATTAAGGTGAGAGCACTGAAAGCAGTTAAGAAGATGAACCCGAACCCCAGTCCAAGGTGACGGAATCTATGTCCTAAGCCTACCATTGACGAATTGATTGGGCCTTATCAGTGGGACTTTAGAACTGTTAAATTCACCATAGACCTGATATTCACCATACCTCAAATCTTAAATACAAAGACTCGCGAAAAGAGGATTAACACACACTATCTATTTGTCGATAGCACGAAAAGAAATTCCCTCTATGCAGCGATATCTGAATTTGATATCCCTTCGAACCTATCACGGCTATGAAGATGATGTGGAGCATTGCCATCCTTCCCCAGAATTGAAAATGATGAAGAAAGATAGTTAAAAAATTAGAAAGTACTATGGATGTGACTAAAATCTCTTCAGCTGCACATCGTCAATCTATACCAGGTCCCTAAATATTATGGTGTTGCGGTAAATATAGAAGCATAGGTTTACATCGGTTCACTTTGCACACTGCCCGATGATAGAAAATGAAAATATAAATAAATAAATAAATATAAATAAAAATAAATTTTTTCTAGTATATACATACAGTACATATGTATATATATCACGCCAAAGAATGCGATTCAGATTTCGAAGATTTTGCTAGTTTCGGCAGAGTTTCAATGAATCAGTTGTTTGGACGTGACGAAACATCGGAACGATTTTAAGGACATGTAGAGATATGTAGGTGATAGATATTATACATATTCCTTCTCGGTGGTGCAACGAATAAGCGACACTGTGGGCCAAATATAGTAAAACTGCATTTTTAGTTTTTCACTCTGACGCGTCATAACGTCAGGATTTTTTTTTTTCAAAGGACTTTGAAATTTTAAAGATATCATTAATTCAAAAGTTATTTAAAAAAATCCGTGCAATGTAGGAACCAAATGAGAGACAAAATTCTGTAGAACAAAAAGGACGAATAGGTATTGAAAATGCGCTTTTAATAAATTTTATCTTTTTAAGTTGATAACGTTTGTATTGTAAATTTTCAAGGATATTTAAGGACAAAATTTGTAAAGGACATTTTTCATACCCATTCTTCCTTATGCACCAAAATATGTATTCTTTAATAATTCTACAGAATTTTTTCTTTTATATGATACCCTTATCTGTTATCCTACATTGCACCGAATTTTTTAAATAATTTTTTGGAAATAATCATATTTTTTAAATTTCAAAGTCCTTTAATAAAAATCCTCACGTCAAAGAGAAAAAGTAAGTACGCAGTTTTACTCTAATTTAACCGTAGTTTCGGGAATATATTCATTTTTGTGTGTGTAAAATCTACTGTCGCACTGTGTAACAGGAAGCAGGAATTCCACTTCAGTCGCGCGTAGCATCCATACACAACTTTTTTTTTTGATTATTCGGCTACTGATATCAGCCTGAGATTCAGTGCCTAAATTAAGAGTTCCGACCTTAATAAAGAATTTATGGATTTTGAAAATAAATTTTGCTCTTAAGACACATAAAGAAAAATTCTTAAAGAATTTAACTAGGTGGCGTTGCAAAGTATGCTGGATGTTCGCCAGCTTTGCTATAAAAGTAGACTGAAATTTATTTTTGACATTATCATAATATGTATTTCTAAAATTTATATGTATGTATGTATGATATTCTAGGTATCAACATTAGTATAAGTCTTAATTATAGGCAGAGAGAGCATTTATGTTGGCTTTTGTAAATTTAAATTTTTATAAATCATCCACATCATAGTAAATACATATATACATACATATGTATGTACTCTACACGTTTTCATATTATTATCCGTTATCACTGTCGTTGCTTTTTATATGTAGAACTAATTTCATGGCAACAACTCAATCTTTTTTTTATGCTAGATATATTGAAAGATTTTCAAAAGGCACTTTTTCATGAGATCAACTGCAACTGTAAATAATTTGCCGATGCTAAGATTCACTTTGCTTTGGCTTATGGCATAGACAGACGGCAACGTTAATCCGCATGAAAATTGCACCCTGACAGACGGCGATATTGCGGTTTAAGTGAGCCGAGAACTCGTGGGTGCAAATCTCGCGGCCAATAAATTTTTTTTTAAGTTTTTACATATTATTACATATAGTTCCTGTGAACTTTTTAATAAAAATTTTTAACTCTAAGAAATTATATTAAAGAAACTTGTAATAATAATATGAAATAAAAAAAAAACAACTAAAATAAAATATGTAAAAAAAAATTCTAATTTTAAAACTTAATTTTGAAAATTGGCCGGAACGAGTATTGAATCCGGGCCCTACCTGAATTGTAGTACGCAGTTTTCACCACTTGGCTATCGTGGATGCCAAACCCATTCGCTTTGTTTGTTTACTTAATTGCTCCCTTTATTTTTCATTCACAATAGAAAACAGCCGGCCGTTTTGATCAGAGTTGTTATCGAAAATGCGCCTGATACGCATTAATTTTGAGAATTATCTCTGGCACTTAATCTGGAACAACTACAGTTAATTCCCGACATAATTACGTATAAATGAATTGATCCGGATTAACGCTGCCGACTGTCTATGCTTTTCGAATCAGTACAAAAAATGCAAAATTACATTGTGGAACAATTTTCATGTTTTTTAGTGTAGTCAGTCCCCAGGAGGGGATTTCTCTACATCTTATCACGATTTCTTTTTGTGGTGGGTAAAAATATTCACTTTTTGGTCAAAACAGTTATTTGCCTACTTCGTAAATGCATCAATGTAAAGCCTCAGTCTCATTTATTTCCGAACTATAACTGAAAAAATGAAATGTCCAAATTAAAGTGGCTGATTCTTTGCATTGATGTATTGATTTCTAACTAGAAATGCCGTTTTTAAATCGAAGATCGATTAATCGAGCCCTTCCGATTCGATTTTTCGTCGATCCAAAAAAATAGATTTTTTCTCAATTGATGCATATATTATTACATTAGAAAATCTAGAAAATTATAATCAAATTTTGATTCTTATTTAACAAAAAATAGCCAAAGCGCAAATTGGAGCAAAATTATATTGAAAAGCATTTCTGGGGATGCAGTTTTGTAGCCCATTCGATTCTAGTATAATAAAGTGCATTCTTCAAGTGGCTACGAAATATCGTTGATTCTTGGCAATTACTATTTTTTCTATGCCAGGCATTTTATTCATATGAAAATTTTGTCAAGCATATTTTGTATGGATGAAAATGCGCTACAAAACTGCATACTTAAATTTTTTCCAAAAAGTGTAATTATTGAGTGAAAAATGCAGTTAGCGAAAACAGAAAAATATTATATTTTTTGGTCTAATAACAAATTGTTGAATATGAAAACAAAAAAAAAATAAAAAATTAAAAAATCTGTATTGCGAAAAAATCTGTATACGAAAGCTTTATTGGGCTAATGTTTGTAATTTCAGTGCTGGTCAGAAGGTAGTATTTTGTTTCTTCAAAAAAATTAGGTAAAAGGCATTTTATGTGAATAGATCTTGGGAGATCGATTTAGTTTTTGACGATTACTTCCTGCATCGATTTTTTTTTTCATTTCGATTCGAATCGATTTAATAGTAAAATTTAACGATACATTTTTTTGTAGAACCTCTTAAATATACTATAGATATTTGTCACCCCTATTTTTCAAGAAGTTTTATGTAAGTTCTTCCAAAAAGGATGGTAAGAGGGTTAATATGTTCTACGAATATATTAAGCAGGAAATTTCACTAGCGCACTGCTTGCGTTAAATTTGGGGTAGTCACAATAATCTGTGTCGGCAACAATTTTTTTCACATTTTTTTGAACCCTTTAAGCCCGCTGTTACGACTATTTTTGACCTCTTCTGAAAAATTAAAAAAAGGGCAGTTAGAGGCTTAGAATTTTCAACAAAATTATTAGGCGAAGTCTTTAACTGGAAGTCATTGCTAAGATACAATAAAGATGTAATGATTAAAGATGGGAGTGTTGAATGAACTAACATTTTTCATTACACCCTCGAAGAGAAGAGGCAAAGGTTTAAAATTTTTTTTGAAGAAATTGCTTTTTGAACTTAACCATAGGTCTCTGAAGATTAGATATTAATTGCTTTTTTCTGCTTAAAGCTTTTAAAGGGTCAAAAGTACCACTTACGTAGGAGTTAAGTGGCTTAAAGTTTTAAGAAAAAAATGCTCGCTTAATTTTCTATACATATACAGCTCTCTGAAAACCATAGTTTTAATAAAATTACATATCGTCACCTGAAATGCGTAACATCATCGTCACTGAAAAGCAAAAAGTCGTAACTTATAAAAAATTCAAAATTCACCTTTTGATTGCTATGATGGATTTCATCAAATTACAACTCCCCACATTGTTTTATGAAAAAAAAATAAAAATTAGTCACGCCTTTTCCATTTCAGTGGCGATGTTGTTACGCTATTTTGCATTTCAGGTGACGATATATAATTTAGTAATTTTTCTAACCAAGAAGTAGAAACTTTTACCGATAAGCTGCAGCAAACTCCTTTGAGGATATGAATCCTAACGTTTGGACATTAATTCCTTTAGGTCCTGACTGGTTATTGCCCAGTAAAAAATTGCGCAAGGTTTCGAGGCATAGAATGTAAGTTCGGAGTGTAAAAAATAGCAAGGTGTAGACAAATCGTACTAGTCTGATTAATTTAGTATATAGACTTTTTTTTTCTACAAATACTCCAAATTGTGCGCCGCACATAGGGACAAATCGACAATATAGGACGACAAAAATCCATATACTCCATATGTATTTGACAGATTTCAATGAAATTTGGTATTTAGGGATTTTCATCATCACTGATTTCGAATATTAAACTAAATTTCCAAAATTCACATTGGCAGATCCAATATGGCAGACGATTTATTAAAACATGTCTATATTGTTATGAAGCTTGGTATCCAGAGATTTTCGTCGTCACTGATTTCGAAATTCATATTCAATTTCAAAAATCAAAATGGCGGACCCAATATGGCGGACGTATTCTTCAAAAATGTTTAAATTTTTATGAAGCTTGGTATTTACTCCATATTTATTTGACAGATTTCAAGGAAATTGAAATTAGGGATTTTCGTCGTCACTGAATTCGAATATTAATTTAAATTTCCGAAATTCAAAATGGCGGTTCCAATATGGTGGACGATTTCCTCAAAAATATATAGATTGTTATGAAGCTTGGTATCCACAGCTTTTCGGCGTCACTGATTTCGAAATTGATATTTAATTTAAAAAAATCAATACGGCGGATCCGATATGGCGGACGATTTCCTCAAAAATGTATAGATTGTTATGAAGCTTGGTATCCAGAGATTTTCATCGTCATCGATTTCGAAATTGATATTATATTTTTAAAAATTCAAAATGGCGGATCAAATATGGCGTCCTGAACAATAGACGTTTTTTACGTTTTTTACAATAGACGTTGTTTGAAAATTTAATTTCAATTTCGTAATCAAAGATAACGAGGATCTCGGAATATCAAGTTTCATAACAAACTATAATTAAAAAAAGTGGTCCACCATATTGGATCCGTCATTTCGATTTTTGAAAATTTAATATCAATTTCGAAACCAGTGGCGACGAAAATCTCTGGGTACCAAGCTTCATAATAATCTATAAATTTTTTAAGACATCTTCCGCCTAATTGTGCACGCCATTTTGAATTTTGAAAATTTGATATCAATTTCGAAATCATTGACAACCAAATTTCATTGAAATCTGTCAATTACATATGGAGTAAACATCTTTTTCCTCCTATATGCTCGATTCGTCCCAGTAAACGATTTAAGAAAGATGTGCTCTATCTATTGAAGGGGCAAAAGGGGGGACAAGTTCGTGATATTTTTACATTGGCAATTTGTTGGATTTTCGAACTGTTGACTCATTGGAACTTTTTTTATAACGCTAACTAATATTAAAATTTCAAAATTTTTTTTCAATAAAAAAGGCAATTTATAAAATAAAATTTACAAATAACTATATTATTAACAAAAATCGCAAAATAAAGTACACACCTCACACCTCATTTTCCATGTTGACAAAACTATTATTATATTTTATCATCGCTTCAAACAAAAAATTATTTAATTCGACGCACGATAGAAACCCCAACTTTGCGCTTCTGCTAAAGCTGCTGAGTTGCGTTAAAAGTCAAAATTTGTGTGTTACATTATGGACTGGTTTATAAGGAGTATTAGAAATGTATGTGTGATAAGATTTAAAGACTTTTGTTTTTCTATTTTTGTCGTCGTAATAAGTCACTGTGTCCTTATGTGCGCCGCTATAAAAGTATTTGTATATATCTAAAAAGTTTTTGGAGTACAAATTTTTCCCGCGCAACTCATTTGCTAATTTGTCTTTTAAAATACCGTCTAAAGCCTTCCGCGCACAGAGCTGTCCTGGGAGACGAGTTGATCAGCAAGCTGATAGGCGATAAAACAACAAACATGGAGCATACATTAAACAAAAAAAAAAAAGCTTAGGGGACGCACAGACAAAGCGCTTATGGCTGGGATGAGGGATGAACTTAAGTACCATAAGCAAGCTGATAAGCTCTAAGTAAACAAACCCACTGTTTAGATGCAAGCGCACAAGAAAGGGCTTAGCTAAGCTAATAATCTTGGCTTAGCTCTTTCTTGTGCGCACTTGGATGTAAGCGGTGAGTTTATTGTTCAGATTGCCTTTCAGTTCATCTCTCAGCTCAGCAAAAAAGGGCTCTATGTGTGAAAGTGTGGCCAGGTTAGTCGTTTTGAAGCTAGATTTTGCAGTCATATATTTGCTCTAGCCCCGGAACTTTTGTTCTAGCTTGGTGGATTTTTTTATAGTGTTGCGGAGAACTATCCACATATGTTTAATGCTCTTTTTCTTTTCGGAAATTCAAGTAGCCAAGATGCAAGTGTAATTGAATTGCAATGGTAAATCTTTAAAGCAAAGCATAATTATTTCTGTACTAGGAGATCTTCCAATAGGCTGCTCCAGGAAAGGGAGTGTTTTTAAAGCAACGGATGTCAAATAAAGGAACGAATTGGTATGGGCGTGTATAATTTTAAAAATAAGTTTTTTTTTTTGTAAATTTTCACCTTCTAAGAGAAGCCATATCAGAAGGCCTGAAACTCTGGCATTTCCGATCGAATATAAGATATCAGAAAAAAGGCTTCCTTTTTTTGATTATTCCGACTGGGTAATTTTGAGCGAAACAATTTAAAATTAAAATACAATTTTTCAGCATAAAAGTTCTGACTTTTCTTGGCTTATCTTTTCACTGCCTCTAACTTTTTGTAACCTTGTTTTATAGTCAATTTAGCTCAATTTTTAGTGAACATTTGGTCACACTAGCGCTTATAATCCTGCTGGTCAAATCATCTTCCAGCTCAACTGTAAGCGCGCGCGGGGTATACATTTTTTAGTGGTTTTCTAAGAAAAAGTGCTTTTGATTGATAAAATTACTAAATTTAGCTTATTTCTAAAATTTTCTACTTAAATATCAGGATAATGATATTCTCTCAAGATGCCGGCAGTCAAAATCCACACCGAACCATTTTTAGCAGTTTTAATGGCAGTTACTAAATTGTAGGCACAATTTTCCGGGCTTTGATTGTTGCACAGGGTTTTAGGCAGCGGTGGCATGCGCTCAAATGTGGTCACCGCCTCCATGCGTAGAGATGCGATCATTGCGGTTTCCGTAGTGCTCGGACAAATTGTGATGAAACCAACTTTTGTTTGACTATAATAATATGGATCCTGCGAAAATATATTTAATAAAGTAAGCGAGTATTCAATACATATGTACCTACATAATTCAAACATACATTCATATGTACATTTGTATTTAAAAATATGTCACAACTCACTGCGAGCGCTCTAGTAAAACCATTGACACCATATTTTGACGCTGTATAAACAGCATAAGCACCATAAGCATCCAAGCCGACTATTGAGGAAATATTCACAATCAGGCCGCCATGACCACCTTTCGATTTGTCCATCAGACGCAAAGCCGCAAAAGTGCTGTAAATGACACCGAACTGGAAATATGTATATATATTAGAGCGGGTCACAAAAAAAAAATAGTTCAATTCGTTCCGAGCGATTTTGAAGTCCCACTATGAGAGTATTTAAGGAGTTTAAAAAAACGTTTTTTAGACACCCTGTGAAAACAGTTAAATCGATTTTTTTCTTTTACTTACATATTTATTTGCTGACCCATTTCCCTAGAGGATATACATGGTGAAGAGCGCATTGGTTATATATATTGGTTTGCCAAGCTTAGTGCACACTGGGAAAGTTTCGACTTATTTTGTAAATTATTTTTAGCGAATTGAATATTTTTTTCACTACTTGGAGCGGATTTTAGAAAAGATTTTCTAGACCTGAATAAAAAAAACTTGCATGTTTATCAGCGAATAGTGAGTGTTGAAAAAAGGTTTTTTCGGTTAAAATTTTTTTTTTTTTTTTTTGATAGCAGCCGCCATATTGGTTTGGCCATTTTGAATTTCGCCATTGTGCCATCAGAATAGTATTCAGTGACACAAAAACCCGTACCCTTTCTAGGAAATTGGATAAGATACGAGTTTTTATTAGCAGCCGTTTTATTGTGTCGGCCATTTTGAATTTCACGATTCTAGTAAAATCGAATTCAACGATCTTAAAATTTAAAAACATTCTTATTACCTTTGAAATCTGAAATTTGTAACCAATAAAATATTACAAATATTTACATATGTAGTTTGATTTTTTTAAGTTTATAGACATTCACCATATGTTGATAAAAATAAATTTTCTTTAATTCAAGCTTATACAATATTTTCTAAAATTTCTTCCAAGTTAAAAAAAAAAAATAATTAAACTCGCTAAAAAATGTACTCATCCAGTAATTTTTGAACAAAATCAGTCGAAAATTTCCCACTGTGCGATGGAATACAGCTGTAAATTGTTTATCCTCATTATCTTAAACGCTTTGCCGATGGCGACATAATGAATTTGTATGAGTTTGACAGATGAAAAAGAAGAGGAAGAACCTTATCTGTCGCTCGAAAAATAGAAAGACATCTAACCTGGCCACAACCACTGTAGCTTGTAGATCTGTCACCACCAAAATAATTTAGGGGATTCCCTTAAACTCGTAAAGTCTTGAGCTATATAAAACTCGTAAATTTACGAGACTTTTATGGGATTTCTTTTCAATAATATATAATAAATTTTATTCAACAATTTTTATTGAGCTTGAGGCCGTTTTTAATTAAAAACTTATTGTGGAAAAGCAACAATAATTTGAAAAAAATAGTAGAAGTATAAAATTTTCCGCCCCACGGCAACATCGAAGTTTACGAGGTCATTTTCGCATCAAATTTGCCTCGTAATTTTACGACACGCTCGTAAATAGACCTTCATAAAAATTTTGACAGTTCTTTTATGAGGCTCGCAAATTTACGAGCTTTACGAGGGTTTTACGAGTTTAAGGGAAGAACCCTATTATCTACATAAGAGTACATGTTAAAATAATTTGACAGATGTAGCCCGTCGCCCATCGTTTTCAATGTTTTTAAGCATACTTATTACAGGCTAACCTAATATTCACGCACGCCGCCAATTTACTGTCAAAAATTTCTCATGCACATACAACTTGTATGGGACCAACCGAAATTGAACGGCGTGCGTATGAAGCTAACTCAATTTCCAATTTTTGTTCTGCGTGACATTTTGATTTGACGTTTCGCTCAATGAAATCAAATGCAAACGCACGCAAGCCAATTTCGAGTGACGCAAAGAAACAAATTCGACGGCGTGCGTACCAAAACGCAAGACGCGAATATTAGGTTAGCCTGTTAGCCGAGAGCGATACAGCCAACTCGAATCCCGAAAATATTTACAAAATTACTAGTAAATAGTTAGCTGTTGTTTTATGAAAAAGAGTTGATAGTTTTCTTCAAAATGGCTTATAATTTGACATCAAGAATATTTCTCTGACACATAATTGGGCAATTCACAAGGTGTCGTATTTGTCGTGTTTGTCGTGAAGTCATGATATTTCATGACAGTTGTAAAAATGTTGTTATAGTTTTGTGAAGAAAAATAACACATGACGATACAACTCTGCAACCTATGTTTATTCGGTGTTATGTGAGGTTAAGTGCTGAGATATAATAAATAATCGTAACAGGTGTTCACAACCGTCGTGTTTTAACACAACTTTTGTTAGGAAAATATAACTTCACAACACCTTGTGAATTGCCCAAATATTGCGTACGGGGGTTTAATTTTTATAAAAATTACCATAACTTGCAAAGTTTATGAGACATGACAAGCTCTACATATACAACTCTAGGCTTTCTTAAAAACTTCATCATTTACAGACATCGAACATCAATTAAAAAATTTATAGAAAAAAAATCGATTTAACTGCTTTTACAGGGTGCCGAAAAAATTATAGTATTTACTTTCCTGGAATACTCTCCTAGTTAGTGTTCAAAATCGCTTGAAATTTTTTCGGCCCATACATCGTGATACGGCCTAATGTATTTACAAATAAATATGTGTAAATATTAACGTTTATTAGTGAGTATGTAACAATTTGCACGTAAACACGATTAGATGCATACGCTGTGTAACAACAAAGAAGAAATAAATAAATATGCTTCTTGCCTGCATATCTACACCCACTCTTTTTAAATATTCACAATGCTTTGCAAGCTAAATTTTTTTGTTATTTATTTACAAAAATATGGTTCATGCTATAAATAAAACCATATAAATAAAAGTTTCAAACTTTATACAAAATTAAGGGAAATTCAACGAATATTCATAAAAATTTTAAACTTTTTAATCAGAATTAAAAAAAAAAATTTGGTATGCCGATTTATAGTACAGCTTGAAATGGCAAAGAATTCGCATTGATTTTTAATAATATTTTTGCTGAGTGTCTTATGCATTTTTCTCCATACAAAATATAATAAGCGCAATTTTTTGCTTGCAAAATATTGCGAATATTTAAAAAAATAATAGATTTACGCAGATATAAGTACGTGTGCAGGCAAGTGTGCATTAGGGTGGTCAGAAAATGCATGTGACAAATATAAGTCGGAATTTTAATGCTATCACGCCGTAGTATTGTTCTATATCGTAAAAATATATACCGGTTATTTTTATTTCGAAATCAAAAAATATTCGGAGGACGCGCAAAGTGCTCAAGGGTTTTCAGAATTATTGAAAATCAATATTTTTCAGTCGGAAAACTCTTTTTCTCTTCAGGGAGCTTTCAGTAATAATAGTAAAATATTTATTTTACCATTTTTTGATACTAGCGATTTTTTATGTCCACACCATTGCACTTTTTGGGGATTTTAGGCGACCTATAAAAATTTTAATATTGAAAAATGGTTAAATAAACCACTGGGTAATATTACTGAAAGTCTCCCGGAGAGAAACAAAGTTTTCCGATCGAAACATATTGATTTTCATTAGGGATGTGCGATTAATCAATTAATTAATCGAAATCTGATTAATTCATTAATCAAAAGATAATAATAATTAATCAAAGAATAATTAATCAAAAAACTGATTACTCAGCAACCTGAATAATTGTTGCTTTATTGTGTTTTTTGTTTGTGTTTGGCATTACATTTTTGTTAAGAAGAAAATTATCGTGTTATATTAGTACAAAAAAAAATTTAATTTGCTGTGAAAGGAAACTCGAAAAAAATGAGCAAAGTTACTCAGATTTCAAATAATTTTTTATACAGTAATTAACTACTTACGATCTCATTAATCAGTGTCTGATTAAACACATTTTTTATTAATCAGAATTATGATTAATTAGTAAATTATTTAGTCGATTAATCGCATATCCGTAGCTTTCATGAATTCAAGAAAAATTGTTTTTCTCCCCATAAAAAATATGTACATGGAAAACTTGGAGCGCTTTGAGCGACCTCTAAATATTTTTTGGTTTAAAAATAAAAAGAGAGGGTTAAAATTTTTTTCGGTGTTGAACAATCTCACCCCCGAGAGCATTAGAATTCCGACTTTACTTATTTCAGACCACCCTAATGTACATATGTACATAAGAATGCAATTCAACTGCCATCATTCTGGTTATATTTCTACAGCAAAAAAAAAAGAAAAACTCACCAAATTAATTTGTATTGTGCGTTCAATTTCATGCTCATTCATTATCCCGCTACCGTTTACCACAATATCAAATCGGCCCATGGTGTCATGCGCTTCTGTAAAGGCACTTTCGATATTCTCCACATCTGTCAAGTCCAGCTTGATGTAGAATACATTGGCAGCTTTGTTGATGGCTTGTAGTGTTTCAAGCATTTCAGGATCCTCCACCACATCTAAAATTGCCAAATTCTAATTGGAATGTTATTACATATATTCTTCTTTACTTATTAGGAGAGATCTCACTTAATTTGTTATGTGAATGAGAATGTTCAGTACTCACAGCCACCCCTTGTTCCAGCAGGCATTTGCAACTACAGTAGCCAATACCACCAAAGCCACCAACATAAATAACATTTTTATTTTTCAAATCCATATTGCTGGGATTTGCTGATTTTATTAGAAGTTTTTTTTTTTGTTTTTTGGCCGAACGGCGATCGCGTGTGTAATTACTGATCGCCAATTTCGCTTGCCGGTTGTCGCTCACTCTACTTCTAATTTGGAAGTGATACGCTGGGGTGCGCGTGTTCATACGAAAGTAGGGGCAGCAGTACTTTGCAAATAGGAACAGTCAAACTTTGATATATTTATCAATTGATATGTACAAAAAAAAAAGAACACAGATTACAAAAAATACATATATATTTTAGAAATTTTATAATTTCTATTAAGCACTGTTTTAACTCTTTTTTCACGCATATACTACATATCAAATATGTAAAAAATAAAGTACTCTTTAGCAATAGCCGCAAAGCTTTGTCGGACTCTCGCCAGCCATTTATTGCACAATATTTCTCTTTTGATTCTTTCTGTGGCTTCCTTGTCTTGCTTTTACTTACATACTTATTATACTTAGTTGCTTCATTGTTTTCAATTATCAAATTTGGTTTTGTGCGTCAAATTCGTAACCAATAATGAAATGAACAACAAGTGTTCGGTTCGCGCTCAATTGAGCTGGGTTCTGAGCACAGTTTGTTGTGTATTCTTGGATTTTCTTTTATACATACATACTCTATACATATAAATATATGTGTATGTATGTATGTGATACTTAAGCTGAAACTTAGCTGGGGATGTGTTGTATGTCTAGTAAAAAATCTTTTGTCAAAACAAATTTCGCCAAAATGCATAGTGCGAAAAATAAAACTGTTATGTTCGTATCTAATGTACTTATCTGTTAAAAGCTTGATTGTTAAAAAAAAGCCTTTAAAGTGTTGTATAACAATCTATTGTTAGACTTAAATAGCTTCTTGGGAGTTTTCAGCGGATGGACAAAAAAAACAACAATTTTTCTTAATATTTCAACTTTGACCATCGCTAACTTCAAAAAATTCTATGCAAGTGGCTTTATAAAATGGAACATTGAAATTACATTTCGTTTTAATATAATTCAGTTTCATTTTTTTTAGTAAATTGATTTGTTAATCTTTCCGTGCATTTGACGCGATACTTCAAATTTAGCTTTTTCTAAAGCTTTTTTTAAGAAATTTTCAGTTGTTAAAATAGCAGAGAGTGCTGAAATTTCTAGTTTATTTCTTGTTTTATTCAAATTGATTTGGGAAAATATTCTTTTCTCTTTGCTTTGGCGACTGGAATGCAAAGGAGAGCTGAAACCCTTAGTTGCAAATGAGGAAACGCTGCTCTTTCATCCGACCGAAATATACATTTCAATTTATACGTTCAATTCGGAAAAACTGTAATTTGTACTAGGAGGGAATTTAAACAACTGTAAGCTTGTTTAAAAAACTATAAATTGGCTTTTTATAAAATTTTGGAAAAAAGTTTATTGACCTCAAATAGTACTAGTACTAGCATAGTATGCACCAGTAAGAGGGCCTTATGAATAAAAAGTAAGCAATTGCTTTTTCTTAAAATTTCAGACCTTTTACTGGATTTATTCAAATAAATTTAAGTAAAAGGTCGGAAAATAAAAAAAACGCAATTGCTTAGTTTCTATTCATAAGGCCCAGTATTTCGATTAGAAAGGTTGTCCCCCTTTTGTTATTTTCCATCATACCTTCGGCATCTACAGTCGGATCTTAAATGCTGATATATCGATGGTTTTGTCTAGAAGAGGAAAGAATTTTTTGTGTGCCAAAGCTCATTGACCCTCATACCGCGTTCTAGTACTTACCGACTAGATCTCAGTTTTCATCACCCTAATATCAGTTAATCAAAGCTTACAAAAAATCATTAAACTTTTGCAAATAAAGTATTTTAATTATTTCAAAAGAATTATTTTAAAAAGTTTTTTATTACCGAATGCAGGTGTCACTAGGGATGGAAAAAAATAATCACTTAATCGATCATTTGATTAATCACAAAATAATATCAGTATTTTTAGCGGCGATAATTAATTAATATTTAACAAAGTTTGAAAAAACAAAAGTTTTGATAAGCGGTTGCGTTTCTCGGTGGCTTTAGCACCGGTTTTTACAAAAAAAGCCGCTCAGCTGGCACTAGGGCTTTCAACATTTTCTAAGGTATTTATAGTACACTTTAAAAAAAAAAATGAAAAAATATAGTACACTGCAAATAAATATATGTAGTATTTTATTTAAACGAAAAAGTAAAAACGCTTTTCAAGCACTATATATTTATTAGGGCGGAGTAATTTGTTCGGAGCAAAGTTTTCAAAGGAAGCGTACAGCAAATTCCAATTCTTCGGTTAGTTCTGAGTAAAAATGGCGAACGAAAAAAATACCAAAAATTACGTAAGACACTCCCAATTTTCAAACGAAACAGCAGTATATTGTAAGAAGAAACACACAAATTTTTGTGAATGGAAAATTAATTTCCTTCAGAAAAAATTGTAACACACTGATGTGTCTTTTAAAAATTGGGAGGGTCAAACCTCATTTCTGATGTACGTAAATGTAGTTTGTTCACCATTTTTGCTTAGAATCGAACGTACACTTTTTTTCGAAATTAAATTACTCCACCCTAGTATACATACATACATATTTTTTCTTTGCGCTCTTGGCAGTTTTTAAAAGAATTGTTAACTATGAAAGTATCATATCGTCGATGTTTTTGCAAAACCGCAAATCGAGCAGTTGCAAAACCACCTAAATCGCCGTTGTGGCTAAAATGAGATTTGGTAACCCTGAACTCCAGGCATCGATATTTATGCATAAAAATCGTAAAATCGTTATTAAAACAACAGATTTGTAAAATAATAGCTAGTGAAAATTTCGCCTCTAAAAGCAATGCCTATAAAGAAAAACTGTGGTTGTTCACGCTCTGGTAAAAAATAATTATGCTGTCTAACGTAAAACCCAGAAACTTTCACCTCCTCCCTCTAGAAAAATATTGGACTAAATCGAAAAAAAAAACAATTTTTTACTTTGATCACTTCACATGGAATCGCTTACGTGTACAAGGAAAGCTTTTGGGTTCAGGTTTAACAGTATTGTGTTTATTGTGGTTTAACTATTATAAATACATATGTGTGTACGAATATATCCATTTACTTATATACAGTTTTATAAACATACTTATTGTTTATACTGTGGTTAGAAGATCATATTGTTACCGAAACCGGTAGACAATTTTGTAATTTTGTAAACTTAAAAGTTTAAGCTAGGTATGCTAAATTAAGTTTTGCAACAAAACCAACTTGACATAATTTCAGAAAGACATAATGCGGTTGGTATGTACATTTATGCCTATCTACATGCTTATAAAAATACCACATTCATATGTACAAATATGTATGTATTAGGGTGTACCAGAAAGTAAAGAGATTTTTCTTGCGAAATTCTATGTGCGTAGATACCATCTACATTAGACTGTGTCAAATAAAATGTATGTTTTTTTCGGTCCCAAATGAAAGTTTCGTTGACGGCCACAAAAAAAAAAATTGTGGCAAAATTGCAGTCCTCTACCTTCTGCTAGCGTTCGAAAAAATAAGAATTTTTCTTGGTAAAAATTTTTCTACGTTGAAGTTTGAAGTTGATTTTTGGCTTTTTTTTGTTTTCTTCCATACAAAGTGCGCTTATTTGTGTTTATTCTTTATGAAAAAATATGTTTCATTAAATTTCTCATTTTGGCTAGCGCAAATGTTTGTGACGCCCAATTAGTCTGCCACGAGCTTTCAAATTTAGTGTGATAGTTATAATTGAATTTTTTTGTGGGCTAGATTGTATTTAGTGTTCTGATAATATTTTCCTTTATTCTTACTATTATATACCTAAATGTTGAGATTAGTGGGCAATGTTTCCCATAATTTAAATAATTTGTGATGAACTACACATACATACATGCATACATACATACATATAATACGGGTATCAAATGTAAGGTACCCTATCAGAAAGTGAGGGGTAAGGTACAAATCATTAACTGGGTATGTCAGCCGTTCCTATCGAGTTAAATTTCTATAAAGTTCCTAAAAGCAATGTGAAGGTTCTAGCGTATTCTACTGTAGACTTCTCTGTATTATTGTAATGATTTTTTTATCGGTTTCTATTTTAAGTAACTTGCCTTCGTGTTTGTAATTTTCATAAACAATTATAATTACATTGGAGTGTACATTAGGGTAGTCCAAAAATGCATGTGAAAAAGTAAAGTCGGCCTAAGATTTTTCTATACCGAAAAAATATTCCACTATTTTTTTTATTTTGAAATAACCAAAATTTAGAGGTCACTCAAAGCACTAAAATTTTTCCCCGTATTTTATATTGGAAAAAACCACTTTTCGTAGAAATGGTATAGAACTCTTGAAAGTCAATATTTTTCGATAGGAAAACTCTGTTTCTCTTCAGAAGACTCCCAATAATAACACCCACCCGTTTTATTTAACGATTTTTTCATACTAAATATATGTATTTTACAGGTCAGCCAAAAAC